GTGTAGGGAACATGCAGATCTCAGTTTTTTTAGAAAGATAAGTGAGTTTGTTTCAGAGTTGAAATTCAAAAAAGGAAAACATGAAAGTTCAGGTGTTAAATCAGAAATACAAAAGGAGAATGAAAACATAAAAGACACCAAAGGCATGTGCTAGAAATGTTTGCATTTAACGTATAACAAAGGACAACATCACAGTAGAAGAAAATAGGAAGATTAGAAACCAGGACAGTGTATTACTGTACAAATGCCAGTATACTTAAAAAGGTGCATATTTCTACTTTATTCTAACGTTGCTTCTTTGAAAAGAGAGAAGTTCTTGGTTGACGCATTTCACTAGCAGTTTTTATTGTGTGTATGAGTATGTGTGTGGTATTAGTTTTCTGCTGTGCTATCCTCTACTGAGAGTCTTTTTATTTTTCTTTGCATAATAAAGCACATAATAGCCTGGATTAGCTAAATTGTAGGTGATAACAGATTGGAAAGAAGTGAATGATGAAGATATAGGACACCACATGTGTATTAGTTTCATATGAATTATTTCTTGTGCACCTGATGAAAGTGGGTTGGAAGAACAGGGATGCAATGAATGAACTTCGTGTGAAAGAGTACTATAAATGGCTAACAGTTTAAGATGAAGATAATTTGTGAGAGTTCATGTTCAGATTTGATTCATGTTTTTAAAAGCATATGAAATACAAAGTCTGTGTGGTTTTGCAAGGTATGAAATGAGAGATTTCTTATTTGCAGAATATAAATAGAAATATAAGTTCGTTATTTATAGAGCTAGACATTTTTTAACTAAAGTTAAACATGTTTGATAAATGTACAATAGATTAAAAAAACTGATTTTGATCTGGAAAAGTGAAAAAAATAATGATATTCAAAAATCTGTAGCCATTTTATTGGAGAAACAAAAAGATACAAATGTGTCAGATTTTAAGACATTAACACAGGTGGACAATTGCACCTTTAGTTGATTTTTGTAATGTTCAAATTATGTAATATGCAAATGTAGTTATTTTTTCTTATATTCAAAATTGAACAAAAAATAATAGCATGCTTTTAAAAATAGCTACACCTGAGGCAAGGTGTGGTTACACGTCCATAAAGAGGCTGTAAAATTAATTCGGCTTTTGAAGAGAGCACATACTAGCTAGCGTGAACAGGGTGTTGTAGCCATGTAATCTGCTCCCCAGAGCTGGTGTTTGATTAGCCTTTTGCAAGATTCATCCAGTAATAAAGGATGGAGATAACCCAAATAGTTAGGCACTACATACAGTGAGTGAGAAGGTATACACTCTTGCATTTCATCAGAGGTTATGATTCTTAGATCGACTGGGATTTGGTATTGAGCATCTGTTCCTCTCCAGAGTAGAGATTGGATTGTGGATCCATGCATGAGTGGTCTACTTGTGTTGAAATCTAATAGCTGCTTTTGGTCCTAACCATCTAAAACGTTCCAAAAGGTTTGCTTTTGTGACAAGGAGAAAGTCCTTTCTGCGGTATTCTTTCTGTGGGAGGTGAGCGTTTCAGAACAATTACCTGATGGAAGAATTGTTTCAGAATTTTAAGATGATCCTCCCTGGGCCTCTAGGGACAGCTCTTAAAATCTAACAAGCATAGAATCATTATGGTTGGAAGAGACCTCAAAGATCATCAAGTCCAACAGTATACCCAATGCCACCATGCCCACTAAACCATGTCTTGAAGCGCCACATCTAAATGTTTTTTGAACACCTCCAGGGATGATGAGTCCATCACCTCCCTGGGGAGCCCGTTCCAATCCCTAACAACTCTTACAGTGAAAAAGTTCTTCAAATCTCAGTTCTGAGAAGTTCTTCAATGAAGTAGTTCTTCAATCATCAGATTTTTTTCTTTTTCCTTCCCTTGTTTATACCATACCACCATCTATTTATAGAGCCTGCTACTGTAGTATCTGAGAGTCTCTTACTCTTTTTAGTTTTAGGGTAGCAATGCTCATGGGTCGTAGACCCAATTTTATCAAACTGGTTTAGTGTCTCCCTAACTTCAAGCATTTGAGTAATCCTGTTGATGTATCCAGGCTTTCTTGTATCTAATGGGGTTTTCTCATGGGTTGATTGCAGATGTGCTTGAGCATTTAAGACAGCTTGAATCAATTTTATTGTTTCCTCTTGTATTCAGTTGACTTTGTCCTTGCTGGACAAGTATTTTGTTTCCAGTTTCATTAAAAACAAAACAAATAAACCTCACTTTATTTTTAAAATAACAAATATATGGAAAACATTTTAAATTATACTATTATAAAATAAAATGAGGCTGTTAAGAGAAAATAAATTAGATAAAATTTCTAACTTGTGTTATAAATGTAAAACAGCTTAGTGTTTGAACTATCAACACATTTAAAATACTGTCTTCGATCTGGTTCCTTTATAGCAAGATGTTCTGAAGAAACACAGTGTTTCTTAGTTGGGCAAAAATGTCATGTACTAAACTTAGGATGGGGTGGGGGGGGTCATAAACTGGAATCTTTACCACTAAAAGGTTCTTCAAAATATGTGATTAAATTTAAGTTTAAATAATAGTGAGTACATTACTCTGTTTTACAGGATCTCTTTTCAATCAATGCTTATGTTTATGCTCAGAAGCCACAGCTGGATATTCACAGTTTTGAGGGTACCTTCACACGGGTAAGTAGTGTATGTAAATGCAGTTCTACTTCTCTCCCATTTCTCAACGTAAGTGAAACCTATACTTAGTGTCAAAGTTGCATCAGATCTTTCCTTAACTTTACAGCAGTAGTTTTTTCCGTGTTCCTGTCATGGCAATACTTCATATAAAAAATATTTTGGTAAATATGTATTACAGAAAGCTAATACAAAAAGAATATCTGAAAAAAAGCAGAATCCGAGAATTGGATATTTGTTGACATCACTAGAATCTTTTTATATGAAACCATTTGTACAGTAGTATATATTGTTTGTCTCCAGGCATCTAATGTATTGCTCGTATATGTCAAGAAAGTGGCAAGTTGAATATATTCAGTAGCCTGAGACAATGCAACTGATAGTTTATGTGCAATAAAAATGTGCCTTTTTTAACAGCATTTCTGTTCAAGGGCAAGCTAGTACTTCCAAAGTTCAATTATCTCAAAAAGTAAAATAAAACTAAAAGCTACTTATGGGGGCTTTACTAAATCTTTTTTCCAGCTATAATTATATTCAAAACCTGATATGATAATAACAATGCAATGATTTATGTGAGTGGGTTTTTTTGTTGTTTTCAAAAGGTGCATTGCTAAAGTTAACCCTCTAAAGCAGCATGTCCTAATAGGTAGTAAATTTTTTTTTTTTAAATTGCTTTACAGATTTGTAGCCTTATATTAGCAGATACAGTGGTTGTTTTGTTTATTTTAGCCAAACCCAGTGTTGGTAGACTCGTTCCTCTTGACAGTTTGTTTCTAAAATAATTTGAGAGACTTAACTACTATGGAGGTAGAGAGAAGGGTTTTTTTTTTTACCCAAGTGACTCAAATTGGTAATAGATTTTGTTCAGTAATTGGAATTCCAGTTCACCATTCTAAGTACACTGATGAATGAGATATTGCAGTTGTTGGCTCTCGAAGCCCAATTTATACCAGTTATATAGTTCATGCTGCCTACGAAGTAAATGTCATTTGCCCACACCTTCTAAAGCTGTAAGCAACAATGTTTACTTAAACCTTGTATTGACCAATTGTCCAAATGAAACTTCTATTAACAGCTGTAAAATTCATGTTGTTCCTGTCCCAGTGGCTAAGTGTATACTTTTCTAAATATAAATTGAACTCCTTAGAGCCTTTTTAACAACTCTGGTACGTGTAATTGAGACATTGGGAAATCATCACTAAACAGTTGCTCCCTGTTGTGGGTTGTGTTTGTACATGTAATAAGAGCTGTATTATTCAAGCATCCCTGATATGTGTAAATAACCCTGATGCATTTTATGCTTTCAGGTTTACATATGTGTTGTTTGGACTGCTTCAGTAGGGAGGGCAGTTTAAACTGAACTTGTGAGTTGCATGCATCTGAGGTCAGTGCCCTCAGATTTGGTGCATAGTGGGTCACACTGTAGATGTTTTCAGAAGATTTTTTTGTTATTGTTGTTAACAGTGTACCTTCTGCATAGTGAAGTGTTAGTTTAGGACACTTTTTTACTGATTTATCTTTCTCCTTCTGCTGTGAGCCTTTGCTTCTTACACTAAATCAGTTTTTGCATCTACTTTCTACGTAAAAAAAAATTGGTGTGCTTAGTGATGCTAATGCATACATTTTTCCTACTTAAGCATTGATGTTCAAAGAATTCTTGCAAGGGTAGGTTGACAGGGTAATAGCACATTGATTTTTCTTTTCGTTTTTTTCCTCATTATGAAGACAGAGTACTAACAATGTAGAAGACAAACTTAGATAATTTCAAAAAGTGCATGACCATAAAACAAAGCAGAAACTTAGGTGCACAGCTTTGGAGTTTTTATGAGGGAACAACTTCTCTTAAGTGCCTCTGTGTGAGAAATATACCCACAGCAAACCTGATAGCTGTCATAAGATACCTTTTGCAGTACACCTGCATAACCACGTCGGGAGGAGTTAAAGCTCTTCTGTACTCTGTTGATGTCTGCCAGCTTCACGTGAAGTCATTCTCTGTTGTCCTCCATGGATTTTGGTGCGTTATATGGAGTCAGTGCATAAAGATGAGTGTGTGTCCTTGCATGGGCATGCAGGAAGGATCATGTCTGGCCCTTAAATAATGACATAAGTAAATTCCTCTCCTCCTCTTTCCTTTTCTGGACATCCTACCAAGAAACAATAGATAAGCTAAATTAGTGTTCTGTGAAAATGTGTGAGATTGTTCTTTTTTTCCCAGGGCATCATCCATGTCTTGACTGAGCTTATTTTGAAATAGTGATGCACAGAACAGGGATTTACACAGATGTAACTACTAGAGTTTCTCTTCTGTCTGATGCTCCTATGTAGGCTTGATAAATTAGGAAGCTATTTCATCAGTTCTGAAAAAGGATGAGAAAAACACATCTGTAGAAAGAGGAAAAAAAGGTAGCCATACTTCTTAACCCAGCTTTCAAAGAGTACTCTAGACCATTACATCAGTGTGTACTGGCATGACCAGTATTAGTTACCTTTTGCTTACAGCTTTGGTGCAGAATCATGGAAAAAATCTCTCTTCTGCTTTTGACTTTGGCTTTTTTTTGTTTAAATTTCGGTCCTTCTTCCTCCATTCCCTTAAGAATCTATTCCTTTAATTTCTCCTGTATTGCAGCTCTGTGCTGTCACCTCAGTTTGTTCATTTACTTTGGGAATATGTCTAAATCTTTTTTTTTTTAATTCCAGTAGATATCTCAGAGAACTGATTCCTTTGAGTTTAGTTCATCTGCTGTAATAAACTTTTTTCTGTCATACAGCACTATTTGGTATTATTTTTTCCAATATAGCACCTTGTCAGGTGTTTAAAAAAAAACCCAAAACCAGACAAACCAAAACCAAACTACCTTGATGCAAAACCTGTTGCATGTAGCTGTTGATTCTTTGGAAAAATACGTATTGAGATGTGAGCACTGAAAATTGTGTATTCATTTATGAGTAGAGTCTCTGGCCTGTGTAATTACACAGGTGTTTTCTTGGATAAGTCTTGTATTTTAGTTAAGAGAATGTTGAGACTTTTTTTTACTTCATATTTGCTGTTAAAGATTTACCTGTTTTGAAGCAATGGTTGTGTTCACTTCAAACTGGCTTACTTTTATGTTGCCACTGAAGGGTATTATGTTTTGCAGCTCCTTTTTACTCACCTTCCTTGTGCTGGCATTAACAGCCATACAGACAGCCAGACTAATGTATGCAGAACCTAATCTGACCTTGTCCAAAATACATATGCTAGTAAAAGGAACATAGCAAGAATAATTGACTATGGGATTGGGGTGGGGAAGGAATCTCTTTCAGTGACGCAACTAAACTAATGCGTGTTCTTCCACTTTCCTACGGAAGTTGGTGGGGATTGTTGTGCTGCATCCTGTCAGGTAGGAGTAGGTCTAGAAAAGGTCACGTGGAAGTGGTACACTGGTTCATTCAGGAATTAGGTGTTTAGTATCAAAGGCCTCTGTCATTATCTGAAAAAAATTCTAATAAATTGTAGCTTTTGAAACCTTTTAAATGGCCACTTGAAATTTGTCATGATCCTTGGTCAGCAGTATTACGAATTCAGGACCGAGAATAGGATATATTCAATTTTTTATTTCACTACTCATCTATTCCTTTTTCTCTGCACATGCAAGAGCTACAGACTAATTTCCTAGAATAGGATCTGTAGGCAGTTTAAATCTGTGTGATCGATACTGCACATGACTTCAAAAACTGAGCCTGAATATGAAGCTTGAATGCAATACTGAACTGCACTATTGTGATAGTGAACTTAATTCAGAATTTAAACACCAGTAAACATATAGCTGCTAAATTAAATTCAGCCCAGCAGACCTTAAGTGGAAACTGCATCAGCTGGACAGAGATGCCCTTGTATTTCAAATTTCTGCTACTAGAGTGAGTGATGGATTTTGTTTACCCCAAAACATATATTGTTCTGTTAGCTGTAGCAGTGTCAGAAAATTTGCAGAACCATTTTTTCTTACCACAGACCTGGTCTTGTATAAGAATTGGAGTCTTTGTCCCTTCCTTGCTTCATTTATGCCTACCATCTCTCCAAAAGTAGAAATAAAAATAATACGAAACAGCTAAACTCATAGCACATAAATATACTTTTTATTTTTCATTTCAGTAACTTACAACAAATGAAAAATAAGTTTAAGTCATCATCTGTTTGGGTATGGAAGGTTTGGTATTTGGTAAATTGGATGTAGAAAGGTGGAAATGTTAGATGAGGGCGTAAAGACATGAAAAGATCGTAATGAAATAAGCAGAAACTGACTGATCAGCCAGACCATTCTGTTGATGAGCATACCATGAGTGGAAAGAGAGCTAGCTCATCAGACACTTTCCTATTTTGAATGACCTAAAAGGAGGCATTTTGCTAAGTTTTGCAGCAGGTAGTCATTGGACAAGAGACTTTTTCCTGACTGTGTTGTCAGCTCTCCATAATCACTGCAGGGCTTTTGATTTAATAATTTCGGTTTCATAATAGAGTTTCATAATTCACTGTCTTAAAATCTGCTAACTGGAGAATAAACTAAGGCAGAAAAAAAGATTATTTTTTTTTTCCTAGCTTAGTATCCTATTTCTGACAATAGGCAGAAGCAAACTGCTGGGAAAGAGAGTAAGACTAGAGTAAGGAGACGGTAATGCCTCCTCAGAAGATTCTTCTATCTCTTAGCAGCTCATGATGTGGGAACTTCCTGAGTCAGAGCTGGTTTCTGTAAGTAACCTGCAGTTTTCCGTCTTTAAACTTACCCAGTCCCCCCTTGGACCTCTGTAACCTTTTAGCATTCAAATAGGAAGAAGTTGTAAAGGTTAATTACATATTTTTATGAAGAGCAATTGCCTGTTGTTTTAATTTTGCTGGCTTTATAACTTTGTTTTTTTCTTAGGTAAGAGACAACAGTATCTATCCTCCCTTTCTAGATACCCATTTCATAGATATCTGTCATGTTCCTCTTTAGAGTTCAGGTTTAGTCATATCTAGTATGGTCGCTACATTGACCACCCTTGCTGCTCTTTCTAACATTTTCCAGTTCTTTTTTTATTTTGTTTGGAATAAGGGAAGGGGAGGAGGGGCTTAGAACTACATACTTAAGACTTGGTGGTGGTGCTCTTTTTTCCTCTCCTAGTAATTCTAAGCATTTCGTTTGTTCTCGACTAATAAATTAGTGTTTTAGTTGATTTGTAATAGTCCCAAAATTTGTTTTCTGAGTAGTTAGGACAATTTCTGAGAAGTTATGAGTTCTGAGTAGTTTTTATCAACTCAGAGCTCATCACTTTGTGAAGACGGGATGTTTTCTTCTTTTGTGTACATTGCTTTACATATTACTGTATGGAATTTCATCTGTCCACTTTTTTGTAGGATATATTAAACTACAGTATCACCACAGTGTTAAATCATAGGTGTTTTTTTCTGTAGCTATTTTGTTCTGAAGTCTTACTTTAGTCTTATCTAAAGTTACAATTATAAAGATATGTAAAGATATAGCAGCAAACATTTCTTTGAATTTTACAGCTTTTCTGTATCTCTAATTCTGTGCTAATGGCTAGTTAAAACATAATGCTCCTGTCAAAATTAAAATTCTTCCTTCATGCTGGAATTCAAAATAAAGCAAAAACGACTACTTCAATATGATTGCAATTTTAGTAAGTGGTAGGTGGGAAGTTATCTCTTTCAGTGTTTGGGGGGAACTATGTGGAGTCCTACTGTGGACAACAAGTATTCTGTGTGGAACTTCTGAGAGCAAAATACAAAACCTTTTTCATTTATTGAGACTAAATTCATCACAAGTATGGTATTCCCATCTGTGTCCTATCACTGTATGTTGATGACTGTAGAAGACTGGTCCATTCATTTGCATAAGGTTGCAGTGTTTGCCTGAAGTACAGGATCTTTGCAGTCAGCTCTCTGTTAGTATACATCATCCTATAATACACCTGCTGGGGACTCTGACAAACCCTAGAATGATTTGCTCTTTGAGGTACCTTAGTGAGTTCTTATAAATAAAAGCATTTTCCTTGTACACCTGTACATTGTTTTCAGCTGACCTAGCAATGCAGTAAAACTCCACAAATTTCTTGTTCAGAATACTTGAGCAGAATTTCGGGTTTTTTGCGGTGTATGATGGTCGGTAGAATTGTAAAGATCGAGCAAGTTGAAACAGTTTTGAAGTAAGCAGAATAGTTTGTGGATGATAAAAAATAATCCAGGTTAGCGTGTGTGTTGCTGACCGAGAAAAATCTGTGCATCTCACAGCAAGTTGTGTGAAATTAAGACTCCTGTTTGGTGCCAGGCCCACCGTTAGAGTTGAACATGGCAGCCTTCCACTCTTGTCACAAATGGCTAATCAGCATTGTTGGTATTAAAAGTATGAGAGAATTTCAGGGAAGTTGTCCTGTTAGATTCAGTAATTCTTGGAAAGCCCATGATATGAATGAAATAATTCAGTATTTGTTTTCAACTCACATATGGCCAGTTCATGTCCTATTTCTAGCCTTGTAGAAGAAGATTCTGAAACCTCTAAGTAGGTTCCATATGGAAACTTACCACTGGACATGGTCATGTGTCAACATTACAGGTGTAGATGGCAATCTTTCCACCGACTGCCATGTCCCAAACAGCTGCAGTTAGTATTTTGACTATATTCCTAGCATCTTCCTCTGGAAAAACTACTGTTCTTACATAATTTCTGTTTAGACTTATATGTCTAGATGCTGCTTAATTAGGCTTTCTGAAGGATGAAATAATCACATAATCCAAATAACCCAGGAACAATTGTAAATCAAACCAGAAATCTAAGCATTATGAAACAAGGAAAATTTAGCCAAAAATTTAGGCTGTGGATGAACCTTATTAAAGGCACTCATGTCAGAAATAAGTTACTGAGTGTTGCAAAGATGATTGATAAGTGCCACAAATGATACTTTTTTTAAGCTAGATAAGAATACTCTTCTTATATTTAATGTTTCAGTGATCAAGACTTCATGTGTCTTGATGTGTCATATGTCTAATACTACCAATAATTTTGAATATTGCTATAGTTGCTGATCCTGTTTTACCTTCAGAGAGATACTTCAGTTACAGAATCACAGAATGGTGCGGGTTGGAGACAACCTCTGGAGATCATCCAGTCCAAACCCCTGCCAGAGCAGGATCACCTACAGCAAGTTGCACAAGAGCATGTCCAGGCAGATTTTGAGTATCTCCAGAGAAGGAGACTCCACAGCCTCTCTGGGCGGGCTGTTCCACTGCTCTGCCCCCCTCAAAGTACAGAAGTTCTTCCCCACATTCAGATGGAACTTCCTGAGTTTCAGTTTGTGACCGCTGCCCCTTAACCTGTCGCCAGGCACCACTGAAAAGAGTCTGGCCCCATCCTCTTGATACCTGCTCTTAAGGTATTTGTAAGCACTGATGAGATCCTTTGTCAGTCTGCTCTTGGTCAGGCTGAACAGACCCAGTTCCCTCAGCCTTTCCTCATAAGGGAGATGCTCCAGTCCCCTCATCGTCTTTGTTGCCCTCTGCTGGACTCTCTCCAGTAATTCCTTGTCTTTCTTGAACAGGGCAGCCTAGACCTGGACGCAGTACTGCATAGCAGAGGGAGAGGAGATCCCCCCCTCGACCTGCTGGCCACACTCTTCCTCATGCACCCCAAGATCCCATTGGCCTTCTTGGCCATGGGGGCGTATTGCTGGCTCATGGGCAACTTGTTGTCCACCAGGACTCCCAGGTCCTTCTCCACCAGGCTACTCTCCAGCAGATCAGCCCCCAGCCTGTCGTGGTGCATGGGGTTATTCCTCCCGAGGTGTGGGACCCTACACTTGCCCTTGTTGAACTTCATCAGTTTCCTCTCTGCCCAACTCTTTAGCCTGTCCAGGTCTCCCTGAATGGCAGCACAGCCTTCTGGTGTATCAGCCACTCCTCCCAGTTTGGTATCATCAGTGAACTTGCTGAGTTCTGTGAACTCTGTCCCTTCATCCAGGTCATTGACAGAAAAGTTAACAAGACTGGACCCAGTACTGAGCCCTGAGTTTGTTTGGGTTTTTTGTTTGGTTGATTTTTGGTTTGGGGGGGGAGGGGGTTGATTGGTTGTTGTTTGTTTTTGTTTGGGTTTTTTTTAAAGATTAAAATGGGTTTTTATTGGATCTCTAAAGCTGAACATTCCTTGGCCTATCAATATGAAGTACTTCTGCTGTTAGGTGGCAGTATCTTGGAATTCACTTCTGCTCTTTGTAGTACTACCCAACTAATGTAAATTCCTACATGATATTGTGTTACTCCATTAAAGTGGGCTTGTGGTTGCTGTTGTCTCAAACATAATGTATTTGAATTTTTAGGAGTATGGCAAATACTTCTTGCAGTATTAATTCCTTGGGTAAGAATCAAAAAATATGTCTTTTTCATAATGAAAGACTAATCTTATAGAACATTCATTATTCTTAACAGAATTTTTATTTCTTGTATGAGTCTTGATTCAAAACTTGTGGTTTTCTTATAGCTAATTCCATATCCTCCCTCTCTTCCCCTCTATTTTGACAGAATGGTTCTCTGTGCTGTTTAAACAATGATTTTGCTTCACTTAAGAGAATAAGGGGTATAGTTTCCTTGCTATGTAGGGATCTTTTGAAGTACACACAAAAATGTACCTGTTTAAATTTGAGACTTTTCTTTTTTAGGAACAGATTCATCCTGTGGTTGGTGGTTGTTTCAAAATAGAGATGAAAAATGGACATAGGTTTTGATTATTGACATTACGTAGAGCTTATTGTGCACTTTGGTAAATCAGTGGTCCCCCTTTTCCTGCACAATGTTGAGCACAATCTGTAATTTGATCAAATACACTTGATTATCCTACCTCCTGAAGTTTCCTTTAGTTGTAAACAGCGCATTTCACAGCTTCTAATGAGTAACAAATCTGTGCATGCTCCAAATTGCTTATGAGAGATTAAGTCTGTTTACAATCTGTGGACCGTTATTGCTTGGGAGGAGAGAGAGAAGGAAGAAAAAGGAAGTTTAAAATAATCATGGAATCAATTTCCTATTGGAAGTATTTTCCTATTGGATACGTATTTTATAAGTATATGGTAAGACAACACAAGTGTGCATTTCTTTTAAAAGTCTAAATATTCTTCCCTGGAGTTGATACGATGTCGCCTGGGTTGCAAAATGATGATGTCCGTAACTTACTGTATGCATTATGCTATAAATTGTCATAGAGAACAGGGTATTAATTTTTGGTGGCTAGTGTTCATAACTCACTTTAACTGTTTGGTATAGCAAACTGTTCTGCAGTTTAATACATCTGAGGAAAACAATGTGTTCCTTTTAAAATACTATTGACTTTAGTTCTTTGAGTTATAATTGGGTTTATTGGAAATTTATTTTTGCGTGTGCATACAGAGAAATATGTATGCAATGAAGTAAGTGCAATGAATACTATTATGCAGTAATTGATACATGGTAGTAGACATCCTGTGCAAGTTACTCTTGTTCAGATGGTTTGGCATTGTTCTTAACTATGACTATTTGTGATGTTCATTTACTTATTAGCTGTCCATATTTTTAACAGGAAGACAGTGATCCAGCAGTTCATGAAAGCCTAAGCATAGAAAATACATTATGGGCAAGCACTGTTGTTGCTTCAGGTGGGTGTTGCAATAGCAAAGCTGATAATGTGTCTAAGAACTTCTGTGGATGTGTATCTTTATTTTAACAATGTGAAATATGAACGGCTTTTGAAAATCATTTTGTCTTCCAGGCTGTTAATCTCTTGCTCCTTTGTTGTCTGCCTTTCCATCAGTTTCATCGTGCTACTCACAATATTTTCATAACTTTTTAATCCTTCTTAAGAATTTGGTTTTTTTGGGTTTTTTTTTTACTTAAATTTTGCTGTTTCAGTAGTGCTGTCCCTTGTACCCCACTAAAGTCACTGACCTTTTTGTTTTAATTAAAACTTCAGGTTGTCAAGTGCTCTGTTCAACTCACTGTGGATAGGGTCCTGTTGAAAAGCAAGGGTGGTTTTGCATTTCGTAGGAGTTTTTATGTATACTCCATGCTATGGGTGAAGTTTGCTTAAAATCTTTTATCAGGCAAAATCTTAATCGGAAAGTATAGCTCAGTTATACAGTTACGTAATTTTAAAATAATGGGATCTAAATATTAGTAATGTTTCATATGTATCTCGGATACTATACAAAGTTCACATTCAGGCTTTAAGTCATTGTAACTTTTTTAAGAGCAGAAAATTAGTTTCTTCAGTTTTTGCTCTGTGTTAGAAAAGTCAAAAGGACTGTAGAAAAAAGGGCTGTGGTTATTCTTCTGCACAAAAAGGCTGAGAATAAGGAATTGGGAGAGCATGATTTCTGAAAAGGAGCTAGGATTTAAGATAGGGAATTGGAACAACTGGAAACATGAGCCAAGAGGAGGATGGGTATGGAGGGAGGGGAAGACAATAAAAAAGGGTCTCCACCTAACTTGTAAAGTTAGTCCCTACTATGAAGGCTTCTTGCATCAGTGAGGGGCCTCCTGGAGGGTTGTGGGGAAGAGATCAAGTTTGAGGAGGTGGCAAAGGAGTCTGTGACTGAGCAGTCTTTTCCAGAGTCTGAAAAGTTAGTCATGTTGTTTGATGCTCAGCGTTGTTTGATTTGATTGCACTGGGAAACTATTCTGTCAAATGGATGATGCCTAAAATTGTCCTCAGTTAGGCTTTTGACTTAAGTAGCCAAGATCACTAACTGTATGTACAAAGATGCTGCTCATGAATTATAAATATCAATACTGTGTAAATTTGTTTTGAGTTTGCTTTTACCCAGATTTATGTACGGGGGAAAACTACACTCAAAGAGTATACATTTGCAAAGTCAGTAATTCTAAATCAGTAATTTTTAATTTTAATTGAAAACCATTCATGTTTTCATTTCCAGGGAGGATGATTTGATTTTGTTTAGAAATGTAGCTAATGTCTGAGGCCTCTTGATCTGCCATCTGAAATTGGCACCCAAATTAATGGAAACAGTGCTCCTTAAAGTTTATGCCTTAGCATATATTTGGGTTTTTTTATTTCTGAGGAGTCTTGTGAAGGTTTAATTGTTTATGAAAGACTTAGATTCACTTTTAAAGATGGCAGTAGAAAACCATAGAAAAGATAATTCTCTTGTTGGAGAATGGTTTTGAATAGTGGAATAAGACTCTAAGGGAGACTCAGGGCAACTCACTGAATAATACAAAGTAGAAATATTGAATGGCTTTTCAAGCCTGTAGCCCCTTCTGAAAGGAAAAATAACATGTGATCAAGTAATTAAAAATGGTATCATGATCTGCATACAGAAGTTGGTTGAATTAAGGTAGCAGAGAGAAATAATTTATTTCAGTAACTGATTTTGTGACATTAATTATATCTTAATCTAAACTTTGGCATGTCATTCATTTCACTTATGTCATCTCGTGTTAACTACAATTTAATACTGTGATAACTGCAGTACTTACATGAGGAGCACATTATCAAGCATACAAGATTTCTATTTGGATATTTGCTTGTACTGTATGGCATCATAAATCCAGATCTTAAGAATTGCTCTGCAGCTCTGTGGAGGTAATTATAGCATTTGACAGAATTAGGCCTTTAATGAAGAGTAGGAAATTATTACCTTCAGTCTGTTGCTTATCTAATAAGGAATTTATAAGGTCTTATAGGTGCAGTGTGCATATAGTCATGAACAAGACCATAAGGCAAAACAATTAGCAGATTGTTAAAAATAAGATGTTCTGGATTTGGTTGATAACTTGTATACCATTCAGTTGTTTTCATCTAACTTTCAAGTTGAATATACACAGCTAAGTTAGGATAGTTGATGCTAAGCAAGTTAAATTTGATTTTTTTATAGGTTGGTTTTGGTTTTTTTTTAATTAGACTTCATAATTGAATTTCCAAGATCTGTGACAACTGAAAATCTTGTTAATAAAAACACTTGTCACTGTCTGACCTCATTATAAACACATATAAACTGCCTTGCTTAAAGCCTGCCATGGCGGGATGCCAGAGGTGGACTCTGCCTACACAAGTTTGCAGGCACCTCTGTGTCCCCTCTCCTGCCATGGCCTGTCACAGTCCTTGATTATATCTAAAAAATTTAGTGGAAGATTACACTTGCACACAACCTCTGCAGATGAGTGCCACTCAGATTCCATGAAAACAGAAGAATAAGCAGTCCATAGCATGTGAAAGTCTGTAGATAGCTGCCTCATCTCAACCACGCTTGTATCTTATTTCAGTCTCCTTACGGTTGAGGCTCACAGTTCTGTTACCTGCAGATACTTTTCACCCAAAAGTATATGACATCTATGTGCAAGCCTAATCTTCTAATACTTTGCCGCTTTGATTCAAGAAAGAGGGTTTGTAGCCTGTGCACAGATGGTAGAGGGTAGAGTTCTGCCCTGGAACATTGCCTGTACGTGTCTTCATTTACCTTGAGACTCTTCAGTATGGCAGTCTTTAAGGCATCCTAGCTTGGAAAGCTGCTTCCTCCAGCGCTCTTTAAGCAGCCTGGACATCATCTGTTACTAAGCCAAGCAGATGTGACCTGTTGCTCTTGAGACTATGTTATACCCTTGCTAACCCCTTGGAGGTTGTTACAAAGCATACTGTGTCAACCTGCACTATTATCTGGACCTACTATTGACTGATGCTGTCAGACTCAAGGGTGGAGACAGGGAGCTACATCAGTGACGCCCAGGAAAGGAATATGTAGCTGAGTTGCAGTTACAAAGCCTTACTTAATTTTAAAAAAGATTTTGCCTAGGACATACAGGACAGTTGCTGGGCATGGGGGTTCTCCTTCTGATTTTCCTCCTTCCAGTGATTAACTATATACTGAATTTCCTGATACTCCCTTTGACATGTTAGATAAAACACATTGCATCAGCTAGGAGAGCCCACTATCTCCCAAGATGCGTACTGTTGCTGTTTCTCAAGGTGATACAGAGGGTCAAGGTCAGGCTAGGAAAAGTGTTTGGGGAATTATGTGGGGAATACCTCAGAAAAATTGAGCTCTGGTTGCTGATGTCCTGACAGTTCTAGAGGAGAGAGACCACAAATCAATCATCTTGCAGATCAGTAACAGTAAATGTAAGTGTATAAAGGTTTCAAGGAATCTTATGAACTATGTGTTGAATGCAGATTACCAAAGCTCATGAAAATATCAGGATACTACAAGAATGGATTTTACAGAAAAAAAAAAACACCTATTGGTAGAACAGTACAAGTGGCAAGAAAAATATTTGCTATAATGTAAGACTTTTTAATTTTGGGAACCAGAAAATTGGTTCAACAAAATTGTGTAGTGTCAAACAACTCAAGAACAAACTATTCCACAGCCTTTTTAGATCAACAAATAAAGTTCAGGAGGGTAAGATTTCTCAAATTTGTGCATTCGGGAGGTGTTTACTTTCCTTGCTTTCAGTATGTCTCTTTACCCCTTAGAATAACAGTAAGCTAAATGGGGAAAAAAAAGTAATTACCATTTTGTCATGCTGAATATATACCCAGATGTTCTACACTCAGAATTGATAGGTTTAGATACCTCAATGGAGAGGATATTTCTGCTGCTATCAAATCTGAAGTGCTTTCTGCCCCTTGCTGTAAAGCCCTGACCGAGATCTGGTGACTGTGTGTATGATGTTTATCCTAACCACAGAACGTACAAAGACTAATTTGCCAGGATCACACTGGAAGCCTCTGGCAGGGGTGGAACTCAAAAGCTGCGCTCTCAAGTCCAAAGCATGCAACCATCGGTTTATTATTCTTTAATAAGTGCAATAGGAAAAAATATTCTGACCTTTTCCACTTAAAGGCAACATCCCAGTGAGTTTTTAAAAGGTAGCAGCAAGGTACGGAGTCTACATGCCATTCTTAATATCTATATTATTGCTGTGCAATTGATAATAGGGCCTGAAGGAAAGGAAGTTTTGGTTAGTGAAAACTTGAAACAAGTGCTGTCACTGAAGAAACAACTTTGAATATAACCAAATAATTTAAACCACTAAGTATTCTGAAAACCTCTTAGGTTATCTTTAATTAAATTACTTATCTTTCAGATCATTTGTGTTCATGACATCACTGACTGTGCTGTTTGTATTTATTGAAAGCTTTTGCAGATTTCCTTTCAGAAATGGAGAGGAAAGTCAGCAGTTAGATTATTTTTTTTAATTTTTTTTTTTTTAAAAAAAGCTTCAAAAGGTCCGCTGCAGTATGGACTTTCAAATTTTTGCTCTCCATTTACTATAATGGTCAGTGTGGTTCAAACTGAGTAAGATAATGCAGTTTTCTGAGAGACCTGCTGAGATATCTATTAAGAGGAGATTCCTATTAATGGAATTTTGTGATCATTTTGGCAGGTGTCAGTCTTTCAAAGTCGCTTTAGATAAAATCAGAAAAATTTATGTAACTGCACAGCTGTAAAAAACACTACTTGGTGCCAGGTCCTACACACAATTTTAAATAATTTGAGCACTCTCTTGTTTTTATATGATTCACATAGTGCTTGGGAGTTATCAAAAATTAATATGATCACACACCAGATTCAGAGTATGCCTGAGTATTTGCGTGTGTTAATTCTGCACAAGTCCTTTTTTATCTCTTTTCCAGGCCCACATGTTTATTCTAGTTGTATTTCCTGTAACTTGTGTCTCCTTTGTTAACCACCGTTCCCTTACCAGTCAGTGGTTGCCAAGTTTACATGAGAGCCAGTTTGAATAGAGGCTCATACATAAAAATACTTAGAATCATAGAATCGTTATGGTTGGAAAAGACCTCAAAGATCATAAAGTCTTACCTTTTAAAGTCATTGTCTTCAATAAGCCCAGGCTTGTGGTACAGCTGTGCTTCCAGGAACTCGAAACTGGATTCAGTTCTTTCTACTGTGGGCCAGGGTGGAGTTTAGTGCAAGTATGCATCTTCCTTCACAGCTAATGTTAAGCTTAGATTTTCTGAGGATAATGAAAGAGAATAGTGGGTAAGAAAAAAAATCTCAGGACACTAGAACTGTCCCTGGTGCAACCGCTGTGGGACAGCACTAAAATTAGGCTCAGAGTTCC